ACGTGAGCCATTTCCTTAATATAAATCTCTCTCTATATATATTTATACGCTTTACTGGTTTTACTTCTCTAAAGGACTCAGCCTAAGACAGTTGCTTTTTATCAAAATTAAAAACTTCAGTTCATCAAAAGTCACCAATAATAGTAATAAATCCCACTCATACTCCTCAGCAGAATGGCTAAAATTAGAAAGACTAAAACATGAAATGTTGGCAAAGATATGGAAAACCAGAACTCTCATGTTTTGTTGGGGAGAATGTAAAAACGTAAAACCACTTTGGAAAAAAGATAGTTAAATAAACATGTGCCATTTCACCCAATTCCATCCCCAGGTATCTATCCAAGAGAAATAAAAACATATGTTCACAAAAAACACTTGTTCACAAAGTATCAAAGCAGCTTTATTTAGCAGAGCCAAAAGCTAGAAACAACCCAAAAGGTCAACCACCAGAAAACTGATACATATATTGTGGCATATTCAGACAATGAAATACTACACAGCAATAAAAACGACATCATGCTAGGTACAGTCATCGAAAAAGAGGAAGACCCTTGTCTTAGGCTGGGTTCTCTAGAGAAGCAAAACCAGTAAAGTGTATAAATATATATATAGAGAGAGATTATATCAAGGAAACAGCTCACTCGATTGTAGAGGCTAGAACGTCCCAAGTCCGTGGATCAGGGTAGAGGCCTCTCCCAAGTCACACAGCTGCAGGAGCTGGCAAGCCCAAGATCGGAAGGTCGGGGAGCAGGGCTCCCACTCACAGGCTGCGCAGATCGACAAATCCCAGGTTCAGCAGATAAACTGACAGCTCAATTCCCAGGAATGAGAGACGAGACGACAGGAAGTAGCTGCAGGATCCAGAGAGAGCAAAAAGCCAGAAGGTCTGCTTATATACAGATGCGGGCCACACCCCCAAGGAGACTCCCTTTCATCTGATTGATTACTCACAGTATATTCAATCATGGGAGTGATTACATTAAAACACGGAGAATCATGGCCCAGCCAAGCTGACACACCATCTTAACCATCACAATCCTCAACAAGATGGATTGACACAGCAGCTGCAACAATGGGCTCAAGCATAACAATGATTGTGAGGATGGCGCAGGAGCGGGTAGTGTTTCTTTCTGTTATTTTACGTACGGCTGCTATGAGTCGGAACTGACTCGACAGCATCTAACAACAATAAAAAGGAGCAAACAGCTGATAGAAGCAATGGCATGGATGAACCTCATAGAAATTACGCTGAGTGAAAGAAGCCAGATATAAAAGACTGCATACTATATGATTGCCTTTATATAAAATTCTGGAGCAGTTAAAACTAATCTAAGATAGATAAAATAATGGAGGTTATTTATGGGGGAAGCAATTGGGTGGGATAAGATGGAACTTCCTGGCATGATGGAAATTTTTTTTGATCATAAGAGGGGTGTGAATTACATGGGTTTATCCATTTATTAAATTAGCCATTTGTACAGCTAAGATTTGTGCATTTTAACATATATAAATTTTACCTCAATAAAACAACTTGTCATGGATTGAATTCTGTCCCCACAAAATATCTGTCAACTTGGCTGGGTCATGATTCCCGGTATTGTATAATTGTGTACCATTTTGTAATCTGATGTGATTTCCTTATGTGTTGTAAATTCACTCACTATGATCTAATAAGATGGATTAACGGCAGTTAAACTGATGAGGTATACAAGATTGAAAACTGTCTTAAGCCAATCTCCTTTGAGATATAAAAGAGAGAAGTGACCAGAGACACATGGGAACCTCACACCACCGAGAAAGCAGTGCTGGGAGCACAGTGCATCCTTTGGACCTGAGGTTCCTGCGCTGAGATGCTCCCAGACCAAGGGAAGACTGATGCATCACAAGGACCTTCCTCCAGAGCTGACAGAGAGAGAGGGCCTTCTCCTGGAGCTGATTCCCTGAATTTGGACTTGTAGCCTACTGGACTGTGAGAGAATAAACTTCTCTTTATTAAACCATCCACTTGTGGTATCTGTTACAGCAGCACTAGATGACTAAGACACAACTATAACAACACAGAGGGGTGGGATTGGTGGTACAGATCATACTATAATGGCAGAATGTCGATAATCTTTGAAGGTGGGTGTACAGGGGAGTTCATTACACTATTACATTTTAAATGTTTGACAATTTCCATAATAAAAGTCTTAAAATGCACTGGGGTTGTTAGTTGCACTCTCATTTGTTTGTAAAAATGAAATCAGAAAAACCAGAACCAAGTGAGACACTGTCAGGGGTGGCTGCACAAGGCCCTGGGAGGGGTGGAAGCTGGGAGATGAGAAGATGAAAGTCAGTGGGAAAGAGAAGACGGGGGTGGGAGAGAGAAGATGAAAGGGCCAAGGGAGCACTGAGCAACGTGGTTTAGGCAGCAGCAGCAGCAGAGGCGTAGGAGAGGGGCTGTCCTGGGACAGAGGCTCATGGGACAGGGCAAGGTGCTGAGCTAAACCCAGAGCAGCCTAGGTGGGAGGTGGAACATGAAGGGGATCTGTTCTGTTAGGGTCACCTGCCCCCATCTGAACTCTGTCCTTGCCATAAAGGCTTAGTGAGATAAAAAAAAAAAAGAATAGGGCATGTTTGCCATGTGGGGACCTAAGGTTGGAGATGCCAGCCAGAGGTGCCAGGCAGTGCCTTCCTCCCTGGCCAGTGGGGTCAGCCTGGCCAGTCCTGAGCACAGCCAAGCCCCAGCCATGCCCACCCTGCCTAGCCAAGCATCCTCACACGCCCCACAACATTTAATATACCTGGGACCGTGTGGCACGGAGGTCATTCTCCCCATTTTCAAGAAGAGCAAACACCCATGAGTGGGAACAAAAGTCAGCTGAACCCTACAGTCACTCATTGTGTGTCCCTTGGCCTAGGCAGACTCCCTTGGGGCTGTGGATCCCTCTCCTGACACCTGCTCTTTCTGCCCTCTGCAGCCTGACATGGTCATCTGTAAGCTCCCAAAGTACCTGTTTCCCCATGCCCCCAAAACTTCCTCCAGCCCCTCCCAGGGCTCCTTGTCTCCAGGTACCCAATATCCTTTCACCTCCTCAAAATGAGTTCGTCCCCTCCTGCCTTCGCACAGGCTGCTCATGCTTTTTGCCCTCAGGTCCCACTCATGTCCTCCCCAGGGAGGCTTCCCTGATCTGCCCTTCTTCAGAGGCTTCCCCTGATATTTTTTGAAGCTCTTGTTTGTTTCCTTCAGGGCAGTTACACAACTCGGGAATATTTTGTCTCTACTTCTCTAGGACGTAAGCTCCTGAGGATGGCACACTGTCTTCTGCAGTGACAATTACCCAGTGGAATTGCTTTTTGCTAAAAATCTCCTCTTTCTAAATTAAAAATGAAGTAGAATGGCTAGTGGCTTGCAGTGAACATCTTAAACTTCAAACAAAGAATGTAGGCTCTGGATGGGGAAGGGGAGCGTCCTCTGCAGAGTCACAGAAAAACACAGCATGATTAAAGACCCTCTATTTCCCAACTAGGCAGAAACTGAAATGTTGATGAGCTTCTGCTTGTAGTCCTGCTGCTGCTGCCAGTGCTGACAACAGTGGTGATGATGCCAATGATGATTATGGGCACTGACAAGTCGCCTTATTACAAACCAGAGGCTTTGTACATTTATTTTTTACTCTCAAAACTACCTTGCAAGATGGGTATTATTATATATATACAGGAGAAAACTATGATTCAAAAGGGACCTAGGGTCACTCCACATCTAAAATACAAACATCAGTGACATCTTTGGTGAAGGGTGAGACAGTACACAATACTGGGGAAACCAGCACAACTTGTACAAGGAAAGGTCACGGAAGCTCCATAGACATATCCAAACTCCCTGAGGGACTGACTTGCTGGGCAGAGGGCTGTGGGGACCATGGTCTTGGGGAACATCTAGCTCAACTGGCATAACACAGTTTATAAAGACAATGTTCTACATTCTACCTTGGTGAGTAGTGTCTGGGGTCTTTAAAGCCTGTGAGCGGCCATCTAAGATACTCCACTGGCCTCACCCCTTCAGGAGCAAGGGAGAATGATGAGAACAGAATACAAGGAAAAGATTAGTCCGAAGGACTAATGGACAACAGCTACCAAGGCCTCCACCAGACTGAGTCCAGCACAGCTAGATGGTGCCGGGCTACCACGACTGACTTCTCTGACTGGGATCACAACAGAGGGTTCTGGACAGAGCTGGAGAAGGATGTAGAACAAAATTCTAACACACAAAAAAAAGGCCAGATTTACTGGCCTGAAACAGACTGGAGAAACCCCAAGAGTATGGCCCCCAGACACCCTTTTAGCTCAGTGGTGAAGTCACTTCCAAGGTTCACCATTCAGCTGGGGACTGGACAGCCCCATGAAACAAAATGGGACTAATGAGGCACAGCAGTCCACGGACAAGGACTAGAAGGCAGAAGGTGACAGGAAAGCTGGTGATAGGGAACCCAAGGTTGAATAAGGACAGTGTTGACATGTACTGGGGTTAACTATTGTCATAGGGCAACATGTGTACTAACTGTTTAATGAGAAACTATTTTGTTCTGTAAACCTTCAACTAAAGTGAGAATAGCAGCACAACTGGAAGAATGTAATCGATGTCACTGAATTGTGCATGTAGAAATTTTTGAAATGACGTATCTTTGGCTATGTATATCTTCAGCAAAAAAAGAAAAAAAGGTCAAGAAGGGAGAGGGTTGACATGTCGTGGGGTTGTGAACCAAAGTCATAAAACAATATGTGTACTGACTGTTTAATGAGAAACTATTTGTTCTGTAAACCTTCACCTAAAGTACAATAAAATAAATAAATAAAATACAAACATCATCCTGAGATTAATACACCCTTGCTCTCTCAAAGGTTTCAGTTAGAATGTTCTCTGCAGAGCCCACTGAAACACACAGACACACACACAGAGACACACACCCTTTGTTTCTCCCACTCCCTACACTGGAACAATAAAAAGTCTCCAAAATCATATTCAAATCAAAAGGTAGATTTATTGGCTACGTCTGTTATACAGTCAAGTGAAAAGATCTCAAAACAGGACTCCCCGGTGTATTGAAGAACCAACTTCAGGCACAGGGTTTGACAACTAGTGGACAACAGGAGCAACTGCTGCTGGTTCTCATTTCTATAATGATTCCTTCCATAGTTTCTGGAAAATTTTTGGTTTGATCTTTCTCTCATAGCATCTTCCTCTTTTCAAATTCCTTTAGAAACAGAGAGAAGGGAATGGGAAAAGGGGGGAGGGGAATAAAAGATCCAAATTAATTCACAGTCAAAATGATTCTGAGACCTCTTATTTTAGGATCCTGTGGGATCCAAAAATTACAGAAATAAAATGTACTAAGATGAAGGTGCTTGAGCACAAAATAGCAGCTTTGGAATTAGTCTGTGTCAGCTTACATCTCACCAAGCCAGATGCAGAGCTCCAGCTTTGTCTCCTCAAGCAGGACGCAGAGAGGGAGACTGAGTTACACTTACTTGTCCACTGCAGTCTTATTACTAAGGGTCGACAAACCCGACTGCTTACCCAAGCCTGTAAGGCTCTACACGAACCACAACCGGCCTTTTCAGTAAGGCAACGGAAACAGAAGGCTTGTGTAGATGTCTGCTGCCACGTACTGGAGTGAACTGGTAACACAGGTCTCCAAGGTACACTCCAAGGTACACTCAAGCATTTGTTTTTCCTTTTTCCCCCTCTTTCAAATTAAGTTCTTTTGCACACACTCACTAATCACCCAGATTTCATTCAAATACTATGATATATAATGTCATATTCCAAAACACAGGATCATGTAAAGAATCAATAAAACAAGGATTCTGTTTTATTATCCCCAAAGAAGAACGTAACAAATCAGGATTGTGAAGTATTCTCTGAGCACTGCTCCCACCTGGGAAAACAATTTGTGCCTGTTTTCAACATGCTTGAGAAGTGTTTTTTATTTGTTTGTTTGTTTCCAAGGCTATAACCATCATAAAAATAACAGGGAGAGAGAGCTTTAAAATAATCACTCAAAGAGACAGGCTGAAGATCATTTCAAAGAGATTATGGAAGACATTAAATCATATAGAATATTTTAAACCAAAATGTTCTCTTAAAAAAGGGAAACACAAAGCAAACAGGAAGTCGAACCTCTAAACAACAGTGGCACCAGGACACAGCCAGGCCAGAAACAGAAGCTGAGTCCCGCCGCCCTCTCTTTAGCTCTCCCTCCACCCCGACGCCCTCTTCATCTAGTTTTCATTTCCTGTCACTCAGCCTCCTGCCCCTCTCCCTGGAAACAGAGACCTATGGGATCAAGGCAGCTGTATCCCAAAGGCCCTCCATGGAAACAACACAACACAAAACTGAAGGCAGTTCTCCACAACCCTCAAAATGGACTGCATGGCACGTGTTCCGAACTCAGAAATGATCTCTTATAAGCCGTATCTTACCACAGACAAAGCAGCAAACCTCGATCTTTAAAGTTTTTTAATCAGAAAGTTATTTTTGGTCATGCCCAACTAGGACTTTAACGGAGTTGCTAAAGGCTATTAAGCACCATAACAGAACGAAATAAAACAGATGTTGCCTCAGAAGGCAAAGCCACGGTTCCCGGGCCCTCTGCGGCCCCAGCATCCTCTGGTCCCCCCACAGCTCACCTTGTAGATGGTGCTTCCCATCTGTGCAGGAGACATGCTGATCACAACTCCGGCACTCTGAAGGGCTGAGATCTTCTCTTTCGCTCCACCTTTCCCCCCAGCAATAATTGCCCCTGCGTGACCCATTCTTCTGCCAGGAGGAGCAGTTAAACCAGCAATGAAGGACACCACAGGCTTGGCATTCGGACCCTGGAGAGAAAGCGATATTTTAAACAATGAACGTTGTGTCCAGATAACACTCTAATGAAGAAGTCTATCAAAACTGGACCTCAAATGAACAACTCTGCCAGTAAATGGAAAATGGCTTGGGCAGGGGAAGGCCCATCATTCATCCTAAGAAAATCAACACAGATATTAAGCCACAATGTTCTCCATTAAGATGACTCAACTTTTCCACATAAGCTGAAGAAAACAGCCCTGAGCACGTTTTTTATGTTAGAAACTACACTTCAACTTTTATTGGCATAAGCTGTTTAATAAACACACGTGACTCTTCCATTTGAAAACCAGAAAAGCACATTTGAAAATGTATGTTATGCGATGTGCGAAAAGTAATTTGTGAAAATAATGAATTAAAACGCAAGATCAGGTTGAAATAAAACAATATGATCTTGTGTCCTGATTCATTATTAGTGCTCGGGAGGCGCATTTTCCACACCTGGAGAGACCCAGCCACTGAGAGTCTACATGGCCACCTAGACCCAGTCAGAAGCAGCCCTCATCGGCGAAAGATATGTATGTGCGTACGGCTTACCACGCAGATCAAAAACACCCCCCTTAGAGAAAAACTTCTCTCCCATTTACCTCCCCGCTCCCTGCTCTGCACTGGGTCCCGGACCGGCTTCAGCAATGGCCGAGTCCCCTGGGCCAGAAGTAGGATATGTCACACGCCTGGAGCCATTCTCCCTGCCTTGGAGAGTGAACAAATTAACAAACAGGAGAAAAAAATAAACTGCTGGCTCCCCTGAGCCAGGAACCCAGGGTAGGCACAGCTCCTTTGCCTAGGCACAGGCGTAAGGGATCCACGGACTGTGAGTGCCTTTCCTCCTGCATAAACTTGTGCGGGCCCATTTCAACAGTGTAGGCCCTCATTACCACAGTACAACAGGGTATATACCAGAATTCTAACTTCAACTGTTTCAGCTGTGAAGTGGCAGGTTCTTTACATTTGACACTGCTCTGCCCATTAAGCAGGGTCTTCACCTAACGACATCAGGGGCCTGAGGACCGATGGCTCCACCCATGCCACATAGCCACCTGCAATAGGGGCCCGTGAATAAGAGGTGCCCCCTAGTCATTACAGCCAACAGCATTAGGTGCTCACAGTCCTGATGCAAAACCCACCCACCTATGCGCTCTAGGGAACAGGGACACACCTTCCTCCTGGACATTCAGGGGCAGCTGTCAGCCTGCCTTGCTCACAGTGTGTCCCCCTGCTGCAGCCAGATGCCTGTGCCTATCCCAATCACCCAAGCCTGTCTAGGACTGTAAGTGAGAGCCTACACGACACACTTGGTGGCTATCTACCTGGGCACCTAAGCTGAATCCCTACAGGAGGAGTGGGCGGATTCCTGAGCTCACATACCTAGTAACAGATCTAACCACCTGGTGACAGAATATTAGAGCTTCAAAGGTGCCAATAATCCAACTAGCTCATACAAGCAGCCTATCTGGGCATATCAAAACAAAACAAGAAGCTAGGACACAGTAACAAACATAAAATAAATAAATATAATAACTTCCTGATGGCTCAGAGACAACAGTCAATATCAAATCACATAAAGAGGCAATACATGATGGCTTCAGCAAGCGCACAAAATAATCCAGAAATTTTCCAGAGGAGGAAAATTTCCTGGAATTACCAGAGGTAGAATACAAAACATTAATATACAGAACTCTTCAAGAAATTAGGAAGGAAATTAAGCAAAACGCAGAACACGCAATAGAGGAAATTAAAAAGATCAGAGAAGAGCATAATGACAAATTTAACAGGCTGCAAGAATCCACAGAGAGACAGCAATCAGAAATCCAGAAGATTAACAATAAAATTTCAGAATTAGACCACTCAACAGAAAGTCATAGGAGAAGAATTGAGGCAAATGGAAGTCAGAATTAGAGAGACTGAAGATAAAGCACTTTACACCAACTTATTTGAGGAAAAATCAGATAAAAGGATTTGAAAAAACAAAGAAACCCTAAGAATTATGTGGGACTGTATCAAGAGAAACAACCTACGAGTGACTGGAGTACCAGAACAGGAGGGGATAACAGGAAATACAGAGAGAATTGTTGAAGACTGGTGGGCAGAAAACTTCACTGATATCACGAAAGATGACAAGATATCTATCCAAGATGCTCATTGAACCCTATATAAGGTAGATCCCAAAAGAAAGTCACCAAGACATATTATAAGCAAACTTGCCAAAACCAAAGACAAAGAGAGATAAACAATAAGTCATCTACAAAGGAGAGTCAATAAGAATAAGCTCGGACTACTCAGCAGAAATCATGTAGGCAAGAAGGCAATGGGATGACATATATAAAGCAGTGAAGGAAAAAAATTGCCAGCCAAGGATTATATATCCAGCAAAACTGTCTCTCAAATATGACAGCACAATCAGGGCATTTCCAGATAAACAGAAGTTTAGGGAATATGCAAAAACCAAACCAAAATTACAAGAACTACTAAAGACAGTCCTCTGGTTAGAAAATGAGTAACATCAGATAACAATCCAAGACTAGAACACAGGACAGAGCAACCAGATTACCAACCCAGATAGGGAAGACACGAAAGTAAATCAAAGCTAAAACACTGAAAATAGGGAAACAGATGTCACTATGTAAAAGATGACAACATTAAAACAAAAAAGAAGAACTTGAAAATGTAGACATAGATTTTTCATATGGAGAGGAAGTCAAGGTGATATAAAGAAATAAAAGACTGGTATAAACTTAGAAAAATAGGAGTAAATGTGAAGATAACCACAAAGGAAACTAACAATCCTAAAAGTCAAAATAAAAAACTAGAAAAATATATAAAGACTAAGCAAACACAAAATCAACAACAGTGAAAAAAAGAAAAGAAAATATATAAAGAAAAACGACTCAGCACAGAAAATTAAGTGGAACAAAGAAACTGTGAACAACACACGAAAAAAGACATCAAAATGACAGCACTAAACTCATACCTATTGATAATTACGCTGAATGTAAACGGACTAAATGCACCAACAAAAAGAGAGTGGCAGACTGGATAAAAAAACACGATCCATCTATATGCTGCCTACAAGAGACACACCTTAGACTTAAAGACACAAACAAACTAAAACTCATCAAGCAAACAACACTCAAAAAAAAAAAAAGAGGAGTGGCAATATTAATCTCTGACAAAATAGACGTTAAAGTAAAATCCACCACAAAAGATAAGGAAAGACATTATACAATGATTAAAAGGTCAATACACCAGGAGGACATAACTATAGTAAATATTTACACACCCAACAACAGGGCTCCAAATACATAAAACAAACTCTAACAGCACTGAAAAGAGAGATAGATAGCTCCACAACAGTAGTAGAAGACTTCAACACACCACTTTCGGTGAAGGACAGAACATCCAGAAAGAAGCTCAACAAAGACATGGAAGAGCTAAGTGCTACAATCAACCAACTTGATCTCACAGACATATACCGAACACTCCACCCAACAGCAGCCAAGTACACTTTCTTTTCCAACGCACATGGAACATTCTCCAGAATAGACCATATACCAGGCCACAAAGCAAGCCTTAACAGAACCGAAAGCATCAAAATACTACAAAGCATCTTTTCTGACCATAAAGCCATTAAAGTAGAAATCAACAACAGAAAAAGCAAGGAAAAAGAATCAAACACATGGAAACTGAACAACACCCTGCTCAAAAACTACTGGGTTATAGAAGAAATTAA